CTATGGGCCACGTCTGTGTCAACATTTGCATCTGTGGTAAGAATAGAGCCCAAGCATTTAAATTTATCTACTGTAGGAATAGGTGTTGTCTCAATACAGATAGTTTCAGATAACGTGTTTTTACTGAAAGGGCATTTCAAATACTCAGTTTTACTCTTACTCACCCTCAGGCCGTACTTTTCAAGAGCGTGTGTCCATGTATTAAGAGTTTTCTGCAAATGGCTTGCGGTATCAGCAGCTAAGACAATGTCATCCGCGTATAGAATAGTCCATGGCAATGGGGCAGGTATATCCTTAGTGAGGTAGTCCATCACCAGATTGAATAGGAGGGGACTTCGAGCAGATCCCTGATGGACACCCACTTTGACTTCAAAAGCTTTACTCACGCCGGTTGGGCTTCTGACTCTCGTGTTGGCCTTGCAGTACATATCTTTTATAAGTTCGATATAATACTCTGGCACCCTTTGGGCACGATGTGCCTGCCATACCAGCCTACGTGGAACTCGATCAAAGGCTTTTTCTAGGTCTATGAATGCTAGATGTAGGTCTTTATTGTTTATTTTATGTTTTTCCATCAGTATTCTAATCGTTTGGATGGCATCAATAGTTGATCTGGATGCTGTAAAACCGAACTGATTTAGAGATATTTCAGCAATGTCAGTGAGCCGTTTATTAATAATTCTTTCCCATATTTTAAGTGTATGTGAGGTCAATTTAATACCTCTATAGTTTTCACACTGCGTTACATTGCCCTTATTTTTATAGAACGGTAGTAGATAGCTTTGATGCCAAGAGTCCGGAATGCGATTAGTCGTTAGAATAATGTTTAAAAGCTTGGTTAACCATACTGCCGCTATTGTACCAAGGCCCTTCCATAGATCCGCTGGTATCTCGTCTGGGCCTATAGCTTTTCGATTTTTAATTTTGGCTATTGCCTGTTTCACTTCAGCTATATCCACCTTAGGTATTGGTCCAGATGTAGATTTGCAGGGTGTAGGGTCTTCATTTGGAAATTCTTCACTTAATAGTTGTTTATAATATTCATACCATCTATCCATAATTTGTGAGTCGTTTGTTAACAATTTTGGTTTTTACTTTTAATTTATTTGTTTGTCTTTATATCCCTAGTGGTCCTGTTTCTAAATTTTGCTACTTTTAATACTTCATCTACAGTTTTAGCATTTTCCAAATTATTGTAAAGGGCTTGGTTGCTAATTGCTCTTTCTATGGCTACACATTTCTTTGCCTGTTTCTTCGCTTCTTTATATGAGTCTTTGTCTTCATCTAGTTGCGAGCTTTGCCATTTCTTAAAGAGATCTTTCTTATTCGCTAGAGTCTTCTTCACATTGTCATTCCACCAGTTAGGATCCTTCTCATTTCTGGGTGGTCCTTTGGAGACTCCCAGGATTTCTGCTGCTTTAGCTCTACAATGCGCTTCAAACTTAGACCACATATCTTCGGCGTTTTCGTAGTTCACTCCAATATCAGAGTCTAAGTATTCCGTTATTACACCTCGCAGTGATTCGCCCTTAGAGCTATTCAGATCTTTCCACTTAGTACGCGGTGTTCTATCTACAAAAGTTTTTATAGGTTTGAACAGAGAGTAAGCGGCTACGAGTATACGGTGTTGTGTGTAGTGTTATGCTACTTACATATTATTTTACACTATTTTAAATTTATTTTTCCATTCTGTTTTTGATTTTCTGCATTCGCCTCAAAACTGGATATTTTGCATCACCTTTATTTCCATAGGATCCTGTAACGTTTTTAAACCATAAGAACACAATAACAAATCATTTCACTTCGTATTTTCACGCTATCAGCACTTTTTAAATCGGTGTCAATGGAGTCCACCTTTTTCGATCTTTTATTTAGTTCTCCGTAATTCTGCAATTTCGGGCTTCGTGCGCACTGTTGTGCCACCTTTTTTTCCTATATCAATAATATCTCATTTTCACTTAAATCTTGCCGTTTCTCTATTACAAGCCTGAAACCAAAATTTGACATGTTTTGACATCGTTGTTTATCTGGTTGTCATGGAAATTTTTATTCGAAATTCGTTACCGGTCTGATGTTTTTACTCCATACTTTCACATAAATACTCTTTTCCTCTTGGCCATTTACAAAAATTTGCTTTTAATTTAAATAATTTCAAATTTAATTTAAATATTTTCCCGTTCTTATCCCAGATCCGTCAAAAAGTATAAAAGCCGAACAATCGGCCAATAAAAAAAAGTCTCGCTTCAGCTTTCATACTAGAAGCATCTCCTAAAGGCCTTATCCCGGGGCCGCACTGCCCCGGGATCCTGCAAGCCTCTGCCTTCACCTGAAGTCGTCGCCTAGCCACGCCTACGCCTCCACCTGCTCCAGCCGCTGCGTGTACCTACTCCAGACGCTGCGTGTGCCTACTCCGAGCGCTGTGTGTGCCTACTCCGGGCGCTGTGTTTGCCTACTTCAAGCGTTGCGTGTACCTGCTCCAGACGCTGCGTATACCTACTCCAGACACAGTGTGTGCCTACTTCAAACGCTGCGTGTGCCTAGATCAGGCGCTGTGTGTGTCTACTCCGGGCGTTGTGTGTGCCTACTTCAAACGCTGCGTCTGCCTAGATCAGGCGCTGTGTGTGCCTAGTGCGGGCAATGTGTGTGCCTACTTCAAGCGCTGCGTGTGTCTACTCCAGACGCTGCGTGTGCCTAGATCAGGCGCTGCACACCTACCACAGACATAGCCTATGCATACCCTACGATGCTTCTAGTTTGAAACCCCATCATCATTTTCATATATTTTTATCTTTTTAAAATTTTAAATAAATTATTCGTTTTTTTGTTATTTCGTTGTTATTAGGTTAGGTTCTTTAGTTTTTAACTGTCGCTTTACGACATGTGATGTTAGAGACTCTCCAGCAATTACTTTGTCAGTCCTTGAACTTTTGTTTGGCATCCATGTCGGTGATAATATAGTCTATTTGTGACACTCGACCTGCACATTTATACGTGATTAGATGTTCTTCTTTCTTTTGGAAATTTGTATTTATCAGAGTTAAAGAGTGTCTGGCTGCAAATTCTAGAATGTCTTCTCCCTGTTTATTTGCCTCGCCTAGTCCAAAACCGCCATGTACCGCTCCGTATGTATTACTTTTAGCTCCTACGTGGCTATTTAAATCCCCTCTTATTATTTTACGTTCATTTAATAGTATTTCATGTATTAGATCGTCCAAGTCTTCCCAAAATTGAAATTTCTCGGACTCCGCGCAACCCGTCTGTGGTGCGTATACTGATAAGATGTTAATTATTTATTGATCATCCAGTGCCAATTTAGCAGCAATTAGACGTTCGCTCTTCCGGGTGATGATTACTATGCGGCTCTTAAAGTTTTTATCCAAGGCTATCGCTACCCCATTTCTTTTACTATCTATACCGTGGTATATAAGCTGATAATCGTTTCCTATGTCTCGAGATTTTGAGCCTTTCCATTTCGTTTCTTGTATGCAGCAAATGTTAATGCATCTTTTCTTTAGGATTTTGCTTAATTCTTGGCTCCTTCCTGTAAGAGATCCCAAGTTCCATGTTGCCAGTCTTATTTTGTTAATAGTATGTAAATGCGAATGTTTGTTCTTGTCTAAGTAATCGTCGCTTTGGGGGGACGCCCTAGCAGTTTTGACATTGAGTATCTGATTCATCGTATTCGCATTTGCGTCGCTTGGGGGGTACGCCCTAGTATTTTGCCCTGTATTATTGTCTTGTGCTTTCATGTGAGGAGAAAAATGTTTTGGCTATTTGTTTTACGGCCGGTTGCCACCTGACGCCAATGCAGTAACCCTTCTGAAGGGCTTGGAAGCCGCCGTTGGACTGAGGTCTCTTCCGCCGCCATCCCTACTACATCACCCTGCATGGTGTTGCAGCTCCAGTGTAACCTGGGGTCTCAATATGTGAGAGCAGCTTTCCACTGGGTTTGTGCTTTTTCCGCCTGCTCCGCCATACCGATAACTATTATCTTCGCCTTCACAGCCGTTGAAGTCTTCACCCGTAACCCTGGGTACGGGACTGTGTTATACCCCACAGCACTGGGTCCCTACCTGAACTTGGCCACCAATTTACTGCGGCCTACTGAAGTAAACGGCGCCCACCCCCGCGGCTTGGACGCGCCAGATAGGAATTACCCTAGTGGTAGATAGAGAGGATGCCTCTACCTCCCCCAGAGCCGGGCTAATGGTTGTGTCTGAAGCCACAACCAAAGGCTCTAATAACATACCCAAACAGTTAAAAAGTTGCGATTGCCAAGTCACCTATAACCCCCTATAAGGCGATCAATAGGGGTAAGCCTATATTAAGCAGTGGTTTTTCGATAGGCTGTAATTCACGACAAATTTTTAATTACGTCATTCCAAGGGGTCAAACTTATTCTTCTCCACGAAGCATTGTTACGAACAATGATTAAGAACGATAGCCTAATGTTCTTATGGAATCCCTTTTGCTTTTGTCAGAAGCAATTCAACTTCTGATCGTGAACAAGAACGAACGTTAAAGGATAAAGTTCCTTCAGAAATTGCAATTAGCTGCAGCCGTATAGATGTTACGAGTATTACTAATTGAAGTTTATAACAGTGAGAGAACAGATTATTTTGAAAGCAGCTAACAACACGTAACAACTATTTATAGTTTGTTAGTAATTAACATTTATCTGATAAAAAGTAATAGCTGACTTCTATGAACTAAAAATAATAAAATAATTTCACTTTTTTAAGTCGGTGTTAAGGTATAGTTTAATTAAGACAGAATAAATTTTAAATAGAAAAAAAGAATAATTAAAATTATTTGTTTCTTTTTAGTTCTCTTAAGTTGGAATTTACTTTTTATTAAAAGTTAATTTTTTACCCTTTTTTGGACTAACACATTTCATACTCTCAAATAACATCGAAATAGTTACATTAAAAACTTGATTTCCTTTTTTAAGACCCTGAAGTTTAAGCTTAAAATCCCTAGATTTATAACAATAAAGGTTGATGGAAAATCAAGGTTCTGCACGAACTACCAGTAGCCCCTCGCATCCATCATACCCGTCAGTTGTCTGGATGTCTACTGGACCTTTACGGATCCAGCAATCTACATCCGCCACTGGAGGAGTACATCGCAAGCGATGGACAGCTCAAATGAACGAGAATGCATTGCGAGTGTACTTTAGGGCGAAAGGAGGAGAAGTTGGAGGTTTTGCGTACCGGCTTAGGATGCATTGCTTTTTGATCATCGCTGAGCTGGAGCCATCCGTCACCGTCAGTGAGCAAAACCTGGCAGACCGAGTTCGGTGCATTATGCGCTCAAAAATATTTGATGATACCGAACTCACGGCGAACGAACGGCTACGACGATGTGAGATTGTTCCACCATTAGATGGGAATACTATACTATGCTAAACATCACTTGTGAGTTTAGCAATTCTATCAGAATGTAGCTGGAGATGGATAAGTCAGTCCTCTATGTCGAAATCTGAGGGCATACACTTATCTATGCCCATCAACATAAAGACCCTTTCTGAGGCTGAAACATACCAATACCTCAGTATGTCAGAGAACATAGGTATCGATGAGGCGGATATGAAACAGCCAGCCAGTATGCGTTAATAAAGATACACGCATATAACTGTTGGTTCATGCCTGTCCTCATGTATAAAAGTAAAGTAAAGTAAAGTTACAGCTTATATACGTCCCACTGCTGGGCACAGGCCTCCCCTCATTTCTGAGAGGGTTTTAGGGCAGGGAAGTGTCCGCCGCGCTACCCCAATGCGTGTTGGGGAATTTCACATGTCTTCGAAATATTTTTTTCTTATTCCTCAGACATGCAGGTTTCCTCACAATGTTTCCCTTCACCACCGAGCACGTGGTAAATCAGCACTTAAAATTGCAATTAACAATTTCATTGGTGCCGGCGGGGATCGAACCCGGGTTACTCGCGTTCTGTTATATTTACAGCGATCGTTAACCATATGAGCTACCACGGCTCTATACCTTTGGCATACTCAGGTGGACATAGATCGATCTGAACGCTCTGGATAGAAAAGGCCACGCGATTATGACGTCCTATAAAATGCATCACCCTAGATCGCGGCATGTCATGTCTGGTTGTTTGGTGCTTTCTAATTACCTGCACAAGCACAAACTAGTATTTAAGATTCTCAATCAGTAGCTTCCTCTGAAATACGGTCTTGTGGATTGGAAACTGCGTTATTATGAGTGCTTTCCGGAAGCTTTGCTCAAAAATGATCGCGCCAAGCTCTACTGGGACCGGAACATCATCACGGGCAGGATTCTTTTTGCGATTAATCCTGATATTGTGCTGATGGATAGGGCACAATCAAGGACATTTTTGGTCGACATTACCATTCCGTATTACGAGAGCCTCGTGAAAGCCGAAACAGAACAATATATATGGACCGGGCTCGCGAAATGACCGACATGCGGGTTGGTCTACCGACAGAAATTATTCCTGTAATAATCTTTGCCAAAAGGCTAATCCTGGTCAGCCTCTCAGGTCATCTGAGACTGCGACTCCGTGACGGATTGCTCCGGGTTCAAATGCAGAAGGTGGTGCTTCTCGATACCGCCTGCATCGTCTGCCGGATACTTTCTCTTTTCCCCCTAACCCTTGGCCGTTTGGTCTCGCCCGTCGAGAGCCTTTATTTGTGTGGGTTGGGTTTTTATTTATTTATGCTAGAATGTAGAATATGGATTTAAGCACATTTATCATTTCCTTTTGTATATTTATTCAGTCCAACAGATGAGTGTACTCCATAAATAACCCATTACAATAATAATAATAATCTATATTGATATAATTACATATTTGTTACAGTGAATATGTGAAGTCTCTGACTACATTTCATAACGTACATAAATATACGGTCGATTTGTAAGCTTCTTTCTTGTTTTGAAGACGGGTAAAGGCTTAAACTATTCAACCCATGGGTTGCCATGGGTTGAGTGGTCTAAGGCTAAAGCAAAATAGTTACTAAAATTCTTTTACATGGTTTTATATTATTATGAAACTCTAATGACTAAATCAGTAAGAGGCCTTTTTACCCCTTTGAATATTTATTATTTAAAACCAAGAACTATGAATGGTCGATAAATTACGATTTTTTTTAGATTTCTATTAAGCTTTATAAGCTTAATAGAAATTTAAAAAATGAAATTGATTAATTCCTTATAGGAATAAATCAACGTCATTCTTTTAGGAAGTATTTACATTGTGAAATACATGATCGTTTGTCCTTTTAGACTCGTAGTAATTTGAAAGTTTCCCGAAAGATTGGACCAAGTGGCCTGAAAAATCTATTATGGTAGACAATAAATAACGTTTTCTATAAGACGTAGTATACTTTCCAATTATTTCGATGGGCGTTAATTTATTAAAAATATTTTTTTTTTTACATTATACGCCAGTGCCTTCAACACAGAAATGAAGGGAGCACTGAAAACCACGATGAAATTAGTATTATATTCGCTTGCCAAGCGCCGTTATCATGTTTATGCCTTGAGAATTTAATAACTTAAAATGAAATTTTAAAAGCCACCGAAACAAAATGAAAGCTGATGATTTTCAAACGGCTGAAGAGATTTTCTTGACACATAGCTAAGAACATTAGACTGAGATACCTTTCAAATGAAAAAAAAACTTAATCAAAATCGGTTAACCAGTAAGCCACAGACAGTCACACTACACATATATACAGATACACACTACAATATAATAGCCCTCTGTTTTCGTTGGGGGTAAAAAAGGCAGATTAATTATAATTAAGTCTATTGTTGCGGCTACACTAACGAGCAACGTCAATGCCCATAAACGCAACAATTATTGCCTTAAATTTAACGCGATAAAATGAGTGGCTACACTTGAACGGTCAACGTCGTTTCAATTTCAACGCCGTTGAACGGCATTAAATTTGCCGTTGAACGGAGTTAAATTTGCCGTTGAACAGCGTTAAATGTTTTGACCGGGGAAGGACCACGTTCTCACAGAATACCAGCGTAAAATAGTAGCTTAATGCTGCTGTCTTTCGTATGGTGAGTGTAGAGAACCGGAGACTCTTTTTACTGGAAACGAGGCATTCTATCCTAGTCCTCACGGGTGACAACGCATCTGCATTTTGATTCGTAATCGAGGATAGATGTAGATGTCTATGGGCTACAGCATCCACATACCATCAGGTTGACTGTGTGCTTGTTTGTCACCCTATCCTATAAAATAAAAAAATAAACAAAGAAAAAAGAATACAAAGAAAAAGAAGATGGTGGATGCTACAAATGCACAGGAAACGTACACTGTAAATCTATTTATATTTTATTTTGTTTTCCCGCACCCAAATTGAACTAGAAAGATGTCCAATGGTTTAAGCTAATTAATAAGACAAACGTAAATATATTTAATGAAATAATAACTAATAAGCCAATCATAAATACTGGTCAAGTGCGAATCAGATTACGTACCCTGGGTTTCGTACGACTGTACACTATGAATTTTGACCTGCAAAAATTGTTTTTTTTTTCTCCTGCGTATTTATCTTAGTTTCATACCGTAAATAAAAGTACTTTTGAAGTAATTTTTTTAATTCAATCTCGAAAAGCTTTTTCATTACTCCACTCCATCGCAGCCATACGTGCAACCCCGTGGCACTCGCCGTGCACAAGGAGACAAACGTAGTGTGGCCGCTTCAACGCGATAATTCGCGCGTTAATCCTTTGATGTACCGCCCCTCGAGTTATCGGCAAACGGGAAACGGTATTGTTAATGCCGTTGTCAAAATATCGCGTTAATTCGTGGCCACACCTACGTTTAATGTCCATCAACGCGATAATTAACGGCATTTCTCCTTAGTGTAGCCGCAGCATAATAAAAACAAAGCTATACACAGGTATAAACAATTTCATATCTCAATTCTGAAAAGGGTGTGGCGCGGATAGTTCGTCACCTGCCTACTACATATTTTGATGCGATTAAATATAACGAACATAGTTTACAAGCCTTGCACCATCCATTGTCCATTATCGCATATCAAAAATCCACTGCTGAACATAGGCTTCCCATATCTTGTCTATTATGGAGGGGGGAGAGATATTTTCAATAGTTGCTACGATGTTAGTTTTTTGGTACAATTTTTCGATACAATTAATTTACAGATTTCATAAAACACGGTATCCGATACAATAAGATAGTAAAACATAAAAAGAGATGAAAGGAGAAATGTGAGTTTTGATATGTAAACACTTCCCTTTAAATTAGTAACAAAATTAGTGTAATAACGTTACTAAACGAACGGGGCTTATTTACCCAACTAAATTGTTCATTACAAGCTATTACGCTCGGGGCTGTCATCACTTGTAAGTGGTTCAATTACAAATTTAAGACTTTTGGAAGTTATTCGAGGGGTGCCTTAATATGTTACAAATTTTCTGTTCGCTGCCATTTTTGACATAGAAGAGATAGGTATATGTGGTTTACGTAATGATTTCTCATATTTACGCGAACACTACATATTTAATAAAACTAATTTTAAATAAATAATAAAATTAAAATAAAAAATAATAAAATTAAGCAAATTAAACGCAATAAATATGTTTTATTCAATATGTGGTTATTTTTAAGCACTTATTTAAGAGTTTTTTTTAGCTGTTACGCAAACTATTTTAGTGTTAAATTACAAGGTAAGCTATTTTACATGTTACGCAAGTATCCTGAGCTCGATCTGGTATTTAAGTGATAATTTACATTTACTTTTTCCTATTTAAATCCACTGCTGAAAATAGGCCTACCCTATAGATTGCCACATATGGATATTTGCCATAGTTGCCACGCTTGGAAGCGGGTTGACAACCGCAGCTTTTTATTTTTGGTAATCATAAAGACGCTGCTGCCAATCTCCTGATTTGTTTCCGTCTTTCGCCTTTTACAGCACCCACGGGTTGATTATAGATTTTTTATAGAATAGGGTGACAAACGAGCACACAGTCCACTTAATGGTAAGTGGTTGCTGTGGCCCGTAGACATCTACATCTATCCTCCATTACAAATCAAAATGCAGATGCGTTGTCACCCGCGAGGACTGAGATGGAATGCCTCATTTCCAGTAAAAGGGGTCTCCGGTTCTCTACACTCACCATACGAAATAGAGCAGCATTAAGCTACTATTTCACGCTGGTATTCTGTGAGAGCGTGGTCCTTCCCCGGTCGAGCCGACCCATTCGTGCTACAACTATACTACTAATATAACTGCAGCATGGCTCTACCACGTATAAAAAAAATTTATTCTTTATTTTAGGGAAAGTATAGAAATCATTAACGCTTAGGTCGGGGCTCTATATGGCGGCGGATAGTCTAATAATTCTATGTTTTCTTGCTCTAAAAACTCTTTTGTTAT